AGGCAAGCTAGGAGACACAGGGCCTCCCCTTCCACTGCTTCCTGGGCATTTCTGCAGAGCTGCCAACTTGTGCCCCCGTGGAGCCCAGGGAGGTTGGCCTTCACCCCTTCACTTCCCCACTTCCTGCCATTTTACCTAGTGTTGCAAGGGCCAATATGTTTGGATTTTACCTGTTCTCTGTCTGCTGTTTACTGCGGCCCTTCCACATCTTTTCACGCCATCCACACCTCACTCGCTGCAGTCATGGACTTGAGATTTTATTTCAGATTTCTGGAGGCATAGGAACGTTAAAAGTTCTGGGCATCTCTATTCCACCATCTTCTCCCCACCCCCAGAGGCATTTCTTTAGAAAGAGAAATCTACTGTCATACACTCTCTAGAGGGTCACTTACCACTTGTAATATTTACTTATTGCATAGTTAATATTTCAGATTTCATTTGCCCACACTGACTTCAAAGGGTCAGATAGCCATCGGTTTAAGACAAGGATCTGGCAAGGATACAAGGATACTTATTTCTCAAAGGAACTCGGTATATTTTATATGGAGCATACACAGGTAATAAAGCAGCTGTTCTATTTTGAGAATTAAGGTTGGGTTTTATTCTCACATGATTAATAACAAATATTTAATACCTCTTTCAAGATTTAATTCTTTTAACTCATTAGCTTCAAGCATCTCCCTGAAGTAGATGTCAAGATGCAGAATCAGAAGGCAGCTCGGTATATTTTCCACTAATATTTCACTGGCTTCTAGGGGGAAGAAATGAGTCTCTGGGCACCTTCAATGACTGCTACATTTTCTTTTGACCAGAAGAATTTCTCTTTGTAGCTCTTGTTTATTGCATTAGTGTTTTGGTTATTGAATATGGAATATGTTGTCTTTGTTGGGACTTTTATTTTATGGCAAAGAGTTATTGTTTCATCTTGGCATCTATTATAAGACTTGTTTGTACTGAAATGTAATGTCATGTCCAGATCGATGCCTCAGGATGAATTAGCTACACAGCTTAAAACTGAAAACATAGATCTAAAGAGGGAAGCTACTTACATTGTCCATTTGGAAGAGGGAAAGTATTTTCTGTAACTAGAAATATTGATTTGGTCATAATAAATATTAAGCTCTTCATTCTTGTTTATGATGGTAAAGCCAGAACATTGTCTTTAACACAAACCTTTGCATGGTTGTATGTGTGCATACATATTCCTTTGTGTGCATATGTAAGTACAGGTATGTGTGCACATGTGTGTGGGGGGGATGCATGTGGAGGTTAGATGTTGATGTGGAGTGTCTTCCTCAATTACTACCCACCTTAATTTTTGAGGTAGGGTCTCTCACTAAACTTGGATGGCCAGCAAGCCCCAGGGAGCCCCTGTCTCTGACACCGCAGTGCTGGAATTACATTGTATGCTGCTGAACTGCTTTTTCTATGGATGTTGGGGTCCAAACCCAGACCCTCCTGCTGCATGTAGTGATCGCTTTACTGACTGAGCCATCTCCCCAGTCACTGGTATTCTTTATGTCTGGAATGTAACCAAACTTAAACAAGAAAGTCATTTAAAAATACAGTGTGAAGTTAAGATGAACAATTGGCAGAATATTTTGTTAAATAGAAAAATCTACATAATAAATATGTTTAAAGTAAAACTTAACTCTCACCCTCCTACAAGACAAAATATGGAAGGAAAATGTCAACCGCTGCTCTTCCTTCTCCTCTTCCTTCTGTGTAGCCCTGGCTCACCTGGAACTCACGATGTAGACCAGGCTGGCCTTCAACTCAGAGTTCTGATTACATCCTGTCTCCCAAGTGCTGGGACTAAAGGCCTGGACCATCATTTCCAGCCAACACTTTCTTTTTGTTCAAAACATTTTTTTCTCATTCCTCATGAATAACTTTATTGAGGAACAATTTGGTGAACTAGAAAACTGCACTCTCAAAAAAAAAAAAAAAAGATTTATAGAATTGGGGGCTGGAGAGATGAGAGCACTTGCTGCTCTTGCAAGAGGACCTGGATTTGGTTTCTAGCATCCATACCCCATGGTCCACAACCACCTGTAACTCCATCCAGCTCCAGGGGAATCTGACACCTTCTTCTGGCTTGTAGGTGAAAGGTTCAGACAGATACCTAGGCAGCTTAAAGGGCCCTGGGTCGCGTGGCCACGCCATGGCTACGTCACTCGTTACAGGGCTGCATAGGGACTCAGTGCACATGCAGCATTATTCTCTTCTCTCTCTCTCTCTTTCCGGTGGTGGACCCCTCTCTCTCTCCTCTCTCTCTCTCTCTCTCTCTCTCTCTCTCTCTCTCTCTCTTCTCTCTCCTCCCTCTCTCCTCTCTCTTTTCTCTCCTCCCTCTCTCCTCTCTCTCTCTCTCTCTCTCTCTCTCTCTCTCTCTCTCTCTTCTCCTCTCTCTCCCCTGCTGTATTCTTCCATTTCGCTCTCTCCCCCTCTCGCTCTTCCACCCTATAATCAACTGGCTAATGTGCTCTCTGTAGTCCATGTCCATCTCTCTCGAATTTCTAATTTAAGCAAAAAGAATAACAGTAGGTACCTGCACACACATGGTACACATATATGAATTCTAGCCCAACACATATTCACATGATTTTAAAAAATCATTTAAAAATATTTCTAACCAAGCAGGATGGCAAATACTGTTGGTCCCAGCACTCTGGAGTCCAGAGTGGATCTCTATGATTTCAAATCCAGCCTGGTCTACATAGTAAGTTCCAGGCCAACTAGAGTTTCACAGTGAGACACTATCTTAAAAAAGAAAATAAACGAAAAGGCTGGTAGCATTTTCAGATGTGAAAGATACACAATTTGAAAGCATGTAAAAGTTCTAAAGTTAGAAATAGTAAATAGATGGCGTTGGAACTTTATCAAAAAAAGAGAAAGTTTAGAATATTCAGAGAATAGCAGGAGCTCACTGAGTGGCTATGAGATTCATTTGAGTTCATTCACTCAAAAAACAGATAAGAAAGCCAGGTAGTGGTGGCACACAACTTTAATCCCAGCATTCTGGAGGCAGAAGCAGGTAGATCTCTGAATTCAAGGCCAGCCTGTTCTACACAGAGAAACTCTTATCTTGAATAGAAAAAGGAAGAAAAAACAAACAAAACAAAAACAGGCAAAGCAGAAGTCACAGGAGAAATACTGGTTTATTTTTCGAGTTTCTCTCACATGAGCCATTAGACAATGGACTCTAGTTCTATAATTCACTGAAAAAAAACTTTCATCTTTTTTTTCTATGAAATATACTAATGGACTGATACTTTGTTGTTTGTTTGTTTTGTTTCTGGAGGCCAGGTTTCTCTGTGTATCATCCTTGGCTGTTCTGGAATACCAGGCTGGCCTCAGATTCACAGAGAGCCACTTGTCCCTGCCTCCTGAGTGCTGGGGTTAAAGGCATGTGCCACTACCACCCAGCTTGATATCATATTTTCACTATACTCATTAAAAATATTTTATGTGTCTCCTTAAGTTTTTTTGTTGCCTATAGGTTGTTTCAGAATGTGTCATTTCCAAGTTTTACTGGTTTTCATCTGTTTCTCTATATTCTATATTGGAGAATACAGAACACACCTCTGTAAAGAGAATGAGATCTTGTGAGGCTGATTTTCTATGATGTTGATCAGATCCAGTAGACTGATGAAGGGGCTATCAACCTGTGCCTTCCACAGTTCCCTTGGGGATCACCTCTGTCCCCCACAGTCAGGAAGAAAGAGCTGTAGAGGTTTTTATGACATCATTGCCCTCAGATTCCATTGGTCAGAACTCTGTCACATTACTTCACCTAATAGTATGGGAAGCTGAGACAGTCTAGCATTTTGCCCACAAAGAAGAAAATGTGTTTGGAGGAACAGCCAGCAATGTCTTTCTGTTCTCTGGAAGAACTTGTATAAGATAAGAAATGCTAGCATCATGGGTATACAGTAGAATTGTAACCTTTTGGGGCCCACCAGTTTCTTTGGGGGAAATTTGTAACTGCTGATTCAGAGTAATGAATTGTGTTCCCTTGGGTTTTCTGTTACTTTCTCCCCCCTTCTTATTTTGAGTAAAAGCTCATGGTTTATTGTCTTTCTAGCAAAATCAGCTTAGAACTGAATTACTTTCTCTTAGCCTCCAGTTCACACATGTGTGGACTTATGTATGTGTCCATTGGTCAAATTGCTGGGTTATAGAGTATGCCTCTATTCAGCTTATTACTGGAGCCAATTTCCCAGAGCTTTTCCCCAATCATATTCCCTCCAGCTGTTAATGAGATTTCAGATTCCTGCTCCCTTTTCAACAATTTATATTTTGTCTTTTTCATTTCCCACATTATACATTCATTGGGTGTCGTCTACATAGCATTTTAATTGTGGTTTAATGTATAGTACATTTATAATTAGTTTTTACATGATTATTGGCCACTTAGCCATTTTCTCTCTTTTTTAAGTTTCTGGTGTTATCTTATTTTCATCACATTTAAACTATTTCCTTATGCTTTTTTAATTTTAATCATTTTAATTTATTTTTGAAAAGCCACCACCCAAAACACTAAATAAATGCATACATGTAAACATTAAATTTTTAATATTTATTTATTTATTTATTTATTTATTTATTTATTTATATGGTATTCTGTCTGCCTGTATCCCTGCATGCCAGAAGAGGGCACCAGATGGTTGTGAGCCACCATGTGGTTTCTGGGAATTGAACTCAGGACCTCTGGAAGAGCAGCCAGGACCTCTGAGCCATCTCTCCAGCCCAACATTAAATTTTTAAATTTTATTTTATTTTATTGAGATAGGGTCTCTCCACATAACCCTGGCTGCCCTAGAACTCACTATGAAAAACAGACTGGCCTCAAATTTACAGAGATTTCCCTGCTTCTGCTTCCTGAGTTCTGGGATTAAAAGAGTGTACCACCATGCACAGCCCTAAAAGAAATAATATTTTTTAAAGGGTTAATTTAATTTTCCTATCTAGATTGTGTTTCTGTATGTGAATATGTACAGATGAGCACAGGTATTTGTGGAGGTCACATGCATGGGATCCTTTGGAGCTGGAGTTACAGACAGTTGTGAGCTGCCACATGGGGGTACTGGGAGATGTTTGCTAGCAAAGAAAATAGAAAAAATCAGAACATTGGTGTGAATTGCTGTACAGTTTGGTTCAGTTACTTGTGTTACATAGGCTTCAATTTTGCCACCTCTGAAGTGAAATCCCTGCAGGCTTTCCAATTCTATTTATATGTTGTTCTCTAGCTCTGGGTCCTCCCATTTGTTTGGACTGTGTAGGACTAGAATTCAGGCTCCCTGGTTTCTTGGTCAGTCTTAATATCACATATATCATTGTAAATATCACCTCATTTATTTGTCTAGTGAACTGAGTTGTGCATGACATGATCTTTTACCATTTGTTTGTGTAGGTTTTATTAACCACTTAACCTATTTTCTGGCTGCTGGTGCCGTTAGTCTGGGAATCGGTTTCTTTGCTTTGGCGTCTGCTTTGTGGTTCCTGATTTGCAAAAGAAGGTAAGGTTTATTGGAAAGTCTAAGTTTTTGTTGCCTGTTGTTGTTGCTAAAAATTCAATGCAGGACTTTTTTCACAGCTATTAAATTTAAATAACTGTGATGGAATTGGCTGGAGACCCTGTAGTGGGACAAGGCTTTATGTGCTTTAGATACCCTGGAAGAAGGACTAGGACCATGCAACAGAGATCTTTGTGCACTGAAATTTTGAAGAAAAACAAGTACTATTTTACTTACTGGAAGACATGGGTATGATTCTAATCTAAAGCTAGAATCTATGGGGGAAACCTTCCAGTTTGGAGGTTAGAACATGCCTGAAGGGCATGCCCTCCTTTCTTTAAAAGCTGGGAGAACAGATAGAATGGCCTGATAGGTCTGAAAATACTCTCCCTTCAGAAACACACAAAAGCTTAATTGATGCCTTCTTCTTTTTCAACTCTCAAATTTTGTTTATACTTATTTAACCAGCTCAGGATTTGTTTTCTGGTATTTTTAACATATAAATTGTAAGATCATCTTCCCACATTTTCTCCCAGTGATCTTACCTCCAGCTGTCTCTCCACCATGTACAAATCAGAAAGTATTCATTTGTTCATTGTTTCAACAAATATTCAATGACTGCACAATAAAACATCAGCAATAAAGGAAAATATTTTGCTATCTTCCATTGTTATTGGAATTGAGGATACAACTGTGAACAAAGCAGAAAAAGTTCTCATTTCCTAGACTTGACAGGAGACAGATAAATGAGCAAATATAAAAAGGGTACCAAAAAGGCCTGTACAAGGAGTTTGTGTTTAATCTGAGACTTGAGTTAAAAGAATGACTTATTAAATATGCCTTGTGCAAAATTTTCCTAGGGTCAACAAGATGGCCTAGCACATAATAGCACATGTAGACCAGGCTGACCTCGAACTCAGAGAAATCCATCTGCCTCTGCTTCCCAAGTACTGGGATTAAAGGTGTGTGCCAACAACGCTCAGCACATGATTGCTTTTTAAGAAACTGCTAATAAAAGTGAATGTGCACTCCCAATAACAAGATATGACAGGTCTGGCTTACATTTTCAAAAGACATTCCTCTGTAAAGTCTGGTTTAATGGAGCAACAAGAAAGTAGGCAGGCAAGTGAGCAGCCTAGCTTTCATCTGAGAGAGAGGTGAGGATGTTTTGAACTAATGTGACCAGAAGAGACAAGAAGAAGGGATTGGACCTGAAACGTCTTTCACGGGTAGAGGTGGGACTTGATAGAATGACGTAGGGAAAGAAGAGAGAAGTGGCAGGGTGAAGACTGGCACCTGGGCCTGGGCAGCTGAGTGGTCATTCCATTTTCTGCGATGGGAAAATTATCATGAAGGGGATCAATTTGTGGGGGAGATGATAAACTAGGAGCTGCATCTTTGGTGTGAGTTTAAAAGCCTAAAGTCCTAAATGGGAATGCCATGGTAACCTTGATGAAATGTTGGTGCAATGATAGGTTAAGAGGTTGATTCTTGGAGACGACAAGATGTGAGAAAATTGAGAAAAGTATACATGTCTCTTTCTAAAGGGGCGTGTGTGTGTGTGTGTGTGTGTGTGTGTGTGTGTGTGTGTGTGTTTAGAAAACTAATAAAGGGACAGTAGAGTAGCTGGAGGAGCATAGAATTTTATTAGGTGTTTTTGTATCACAGTGACCAAAATGCTTGACACAATAACTTAAGGGAGGAAAGACTTCTGTTGGCTCATGGTTTCACAGTGGGAAAGGCATGGACACATTCACAGATGCAGGAGTGTATGGCGGAGGCCCTTCACAGCACCGTGGACCAGAAAGTAGAAAGCTATCAAGGTCCACCTCCTAATCCTCCCACAGCCTCCCCCAAGCAGGGCTTTCAAAGCATGAGTTTGTGGACAACATTTTATATGCAAGTCATAACAAAAGTCAAAGGAAGCATGCTTTTCTTGTCAAAGTAGAAGACACACTTGACAGGTACCTCTTGTTTCCCGCCCTAACACACTTGAATTATCACCAAATTAGATTTTTTTCCCCTTGCAAATCACTCACATCCATCTCATTCCATTAACCACGGCTACACTCCTCGAGTCTTCATTGTCCTTCACATGAGCAATTTGGCTGGGGTTTATAGTGGATCCCTGTCTTCAATGGCAAGCTCATTTAATCTCCGCTCCATACCCCAGCCATACATTTTCCACTTGCAAATCTATTCTTATTCCCCATGCCCACTATTTTTCAAAGGACTTCCCATTGATTTTAAGAGAAACCCAACTGACATGTTTAAGGCCCCGCATGATCTGTCCCTGAACGTTCCTCCATTCCATGCCCTATTTCCTGTTTTGCTTTTTGTGTTTCTCCTACATGGAGGAAATCCAGCCTTTATATCTTTGTGTTTGATATTCCATCTCTCTTGAAAAACATCTCTTCCACATTTCCCTCTTCCTACTGAATATTACTAATTACTAATCCTATTTCTTTAGCAGTCTAGTTCAATCACCCTTTCCTCAGGTTGATTCCCCTAGTACAAACCCACACACAGTACCTGGTAATTTTCCTCAGTGGAACGTTCCAAATCCATAATTTTTCAACTTCTTGTAATATCTGCCTTCCTTATTAGTACTTGCTATATGAGAGGCCATAAAGGTGATGGTTACCGGCCCTGCCCCCAACACCCAACATTTCTGACATAAGGTTAAATATTTGTTTAGTGAACTGAATTCAGGGAGTGATTGGATCTTCATTGTTCATATCTTATGGAAGAATCTAATATACTCTCTTGAATTAACTTGGAAATTTTCTAGTACCTCTGGAAAAATAGTTGGCCACCATTATTATTATTTGGGGAGAGTTAAAACTGAAGAACATGTCAACATGTTAGCATCCATTTGACATTAAAGTTCACTCTTCATGTACATTCCAAAGTTTTCACAAATATATAATGACTTGTGCATACAAGCCAGAGTATTCTCATCACCCTAAAATTCCTCCGTGCTTCTTCTATCCTTCCTTTCTTCTCCCTAACATCAGGCAACCACTGATATTCCTAGATCTCAGTAGTTCAGCCTTTTCCAGAGTGAGGTCATAGACTTGAAATCGGATGTCAAAGCATAAAGAATGTTGCCTTCTTAGACTTTTTCTCATACAGTGCTTAACTATGTAGCCTAACTAACCTAAAACTCACTAGGTGGCAGAGGTTGACCTTAACCTCATAACAATCCCCCTGCCTCTGCCTCCCAGGCTCTGGATTACAGGTGTGAGTCACTATATCCAGCAGTTTTCCTCTATGTCTTTTTTGTGACTTGGCAGCTCCTTTCTTTGTATCACTGAACAATATTCCACTGTCTGGCATCATTTTTTAAAACATTGTTATTAGTCAGGGTTCTCAAGAGAAACAGAACTGATAGAATGAATACTCTCTCTCTCTCTCTCTCTCTCTCTCTCTCTCTCTCTCTCTCGCTCTCTCTCTCTCTCTCTCTCGCTCTCTCTCTCTCTCTCTCTCGCTCTCTCTCTCTCTCTCTCTCACACACACACACACACACACACACACACACACACGGGATTTATTAGAGTGACTCACAGGTTATAGTCTGACTATTCCAACAATGGCTGTCTCCCAAAGGAAAATTGAAGAATCTAGTAGCTGTTCAGTCTACAAGGCTGGATGCCTAGCTGCTTTTAAGTATGCATCAGAATCCCAAAGAAGTAGGTCCTAACACCAGCAAAAGAATGAGCTCACAAGTGATAGTGAGGACAAGCAGGCAAGCACTTTCTTCTTCCAGGCCCTTTTACAGAAGGTGTGGCCCTGATTTATGGTGGATCTTCCTAACTCAAAAGATCTGGATTTAGGATGGAATTTCTTACTTCTAAAGAGTCAATCAAGACAAACCTCTCACAGGTGTACCCAGCTGGTCTACCCAGCTGCTTGGGTTTTCATTAATTCTAGAGGTAGTCAAGTTGTAGTCAACCAAGAATAGCCTTAACAAATATTTGACTTTATCAAGTGGACTTCTTTCTGATCAGCTGAGGTTTCGCTTAGCAGCACTCGGTTGCTTTTAAGCCTCCCCCTCCTGCTTGTGACTGTGTGGATGAGAAAAGCTCACAGGTGCTCTCCCAGCATGCCATTATTTTCAATCCAGATTCTGTCCTCTCTGCCAAAAGGGACCAATGATTTCATTTTATTTCACTAAAAACAGATTTATGGAAAGACTAACTAAACCAGATGGCTAATCCCAGCACTGGGGAGGCAGACGAAGGTAAATCTCTGAGTTTGAGGCAGACCTGGTCTTCAATTCCAGGACAGCCAGGGCTACACAGAGAAACCCTGTCTTGAAAACCAAAAAAAAAAAAAAAAAAAGGGGGGGGGGCTTTGGGGGCGCATGCCTTTAATCCCAGCACTTGGGAGGCAGAGGCAGGTGGATCTCTGTGAGTTCGAGGCCAGCCTGGTCTACAGAGTGAGTGCCAGGACAGGCTCCAAAGCTACACAGAGAAGCCCCGTCTCGGAAAAAATAAAATACTAGCTTTCTATAATTAGCTACTTTATATTTTCTGAAAAGTAGACATAATGAAATCAGATCTATGTTTAAGGAGTATATAAACTGATTGCTACTTTTAAAGGTCTTCAACATGCTGATTTTAAACTCCTATGAATAAAGGTTAGAGACAATTCTTTTAATTGGCATATGTAATAATATAATTTGATACCTGTCTAATAATAATTTCTCTACAATGTTTTCCAGAGAAATATTTCAAAGTCCCAAAGTTAAATCAACTGATGAAAAGGTGATGCAAGGACCACCCAAATCGAAGATTAAATCTCATTCTCAGTGTGTTTTCATTTCCCGAAACTTTCATGCTGGCCGATCTCAACCAAAGGTAGAGTGTCATGTTTTAAAGCAGTCTCCTTGGAGATCCCTAGACCATGTTACTAGCATGTTGTCTTCCCATTGGAAGGCTAATATATTCACGGTTATATTTTAGTGTAAGAACCAAAAGTTCATACAATAGGAAAACTAAAGTTTTCTTTTATATTTTGGAGGGTGATAAAGCTTATAAAAGAACAGAAAAATTAAATGAATATTTACTCTGTCTCCAGTCGCTTTTATAAACCCTTCAGCAAACAAACAAACAAAACCCTACACTCTCCATAGTAGGCTTGGAAGAAGGATGAGGATAATGGCATGTTGGAAGGGATGCATGCAAAATTCTTGGGACTAGGGCTGGAGAGGTGGCTCAGAGGTTAAGAACACTGGCTGCTCTTCCAGAGGTCCTGAGTTCAATTCCCAGCATCCACATGGTGGCTCACAAACATCTGTAATGAGATCGCGTGCCCTCTGCTGGCTTGCAGGCTGACATACCGGCAGAACACTGTATACATAATAAATAAATCTTTTAAAATAAATTCTTGGGACTACCAGAAAAAAAAAAGAAATTTGGAGATAAGAAATGCTCAGATAACCAGATAGCCTGACCAAACCTGTTAAGTGTAATTTAATCCAATTTGGTAAGTAACTATTAATCCATATTGTATTTGAAGATCTTGCCCCTGCCCTGTTGTGAAGGTTAAAATATTGCCCCTACTTTCAAGGTGCTTGTGTGACACTTGATGAGAATATCAGACTATGATTAACAAAATTGTGTGTCAAAACAGATTCATAGACAAAATAGAACATAGTCTAGTAGAAATCTAAAACTATGACATAGCTGAGTTAAATAAATGAACTGATGGTCCTTCAGCATTCGGAGATACACTGGATGGCAGGCCTTCATTACATATCCTTCACCTTGGTTGAACTCAGCAACCATGTGTCTAGTAACCATCCCGCAACACTATTTTACCACAGAGCCTACACAAGCAAAAAAGAAATGAGCCCAGACCTAGATAGACTACAGTCAAGATAGAAGAAAAATGAATTATTAACCTCAGTTTGTCCTTTCACACACAGAAGGACATCCTGGTTGCTTCTAAGTTTGTGCAATTATGAACAAAGTTGCTAAAAAAATTTTTTGTGGAGGCTTTTGTATGGACATGACTTTCCAACTCACTTGAAGATATCAAAGAGAATTGTTGTTAATCATATTGTGTGTGGTTTTATGAGAAACTCTGTCTATTTATGTTCCCACTGACCAGGAAGGAGACCGTTGTTTAACCCTGCATCCACGTCAGCACTGGCTGCTGTTGGCGTTTTTTAGCATTCACCATTATGAGATGCAGAGTAACTTCTCACTGTCATCACAGGTCATATGGTGTTGAATATGTGCCTAGGGCTGGGGCCAGTTAAACTGTGGGCTCTAATCTCCATTTACCTTTGCGGAGGCATGGATAATGATTTACGGGACTAGGCTTAAATATAGGTTAAATATGATTTATTTCGGGGAGAAGTAACTTACACAAGAAGCAGGTGGCCGCCGCAGGTTGCCGCTCTAAGGATCACACAGGCTGTGCTCCCTGTGACCTGACCAGATGTGAGAGCCACTTGTCCCGACTGATGGGAGACCTAAACTCACTCCCCATCACATCCGCACCTGTGACCACGCCCAAACGGGCATGGTCAGCTTTACAGGTGAGGGTGGGGTAAATGTCTCACTACATACCTTGATTTCTGCCGGTGCTGAGAAGCCTGTACAAATGTCTGATGTCAACTGTGTGTCAGTAGTGTTCCTTCTTTGTGTACCACCAGGCCTTGCTGGTCACCCTTAGCTTTTTCAGTCTGTGAGAACCACCCCAAGATTTGCCAGCTCATACCCTCTAGACTGGTGACTGTTCCGGCTGAGTAGTTTCTTTCTGTCCCTTTCATCAGAGGTAGGGGAAGCATCCACAGCACTGAGCTCCATACAGGCAAACCCATCTTCGTCTTCTCAAAATCCCTTTAGCAGGGCTGGAGAGATGACTCAGATGACCCATGATGCAGTTGCCGAAGACCAGGGATCCAATGCCCTCTTCTGGCCTCTGTGAGTTCTGCACACATACGAAGAGGCACATATACACACAATTTTAAATTAAAATAAACCTTTAGTTTTAATTGTCTCTCTGTTGTGTTTGTGGTCTTAGCCAGAGAGTTCAAATCCCCTGGAACCAGAGTTACAGGCGGTTTTTCTGAGTCACTTGACTTGAGAACCTGGGTCTTTTAGAAAAACGGCAGCTGGAGTTTCAAAGTGTGCAGACTGTATGATAGTTAACCTCATAGCAGATAGGTGGCTGCGGACATTGATTCACTTGCTGACTTCAAAGTTACATTGATGACATCTGCTCCCAGGGATTGATGGTGGAGCTACCTGATGCCTGCACTTCGGGGCCTCTCAGTTTATGTCCCTCCCACACTCTATAGTTGTCTCCTGGCAGGTGCCGTCTCCCAGGCTAGGGCTGTGACAGGTTGCATTCAGGCTGGTTGACACAGTCTCTGTTCTTAGGACCCCAGGGTAGTTCAGTTTTAAACATTATGTTCGCTCTAGACATGACACCTAGCCTCAGTCTCTGAGCCAGAGAAACTCCTTCCATGGCTGACACATCCCACAAGTCCCTGGTTTTGAGGTTTGTGAGAGCTGTGGACGTGTGGACATGGCCTGTGAGTAGGAATGCCAGGGGCTTTTCACCAGGACCCTCTGAACGACTTTGTGGAAGAAGCATCTGCTTCCCCTCCCTCTCCTTGGAGCCTGGAGGCTGAGCTGTGTTGGGCTACGTCTCTGCTCTTCACAGCTGCGCTAGATGCCCACTTGTGGATTTCTGAAGCTCTTCCCTCATCTCCTTTCTCCAGCATACACTCTGTGTTTACACATCACAATTCTTCTTCACGTGGTCACACTGAGGCAGCTTCTAGTCCTCCATCTAGCCCAGAATCTTTCGAAAGTGGTTTCTTGAGATGGGATTTACTCCTGATTTAGATGCTATGAATATTGTTGAAACCATAGCAAAGAGTTCAAAATATTAGGTAAACTTAGATGACAGAGTATCGACAAGGTACAGTTCTTCCATGCTACAGAGAAAGATGTAATGAAAAGATGAGTAATATATGGTGATCAACTCAGTCGTGGGGGGGGGGGGTGGCAGTGCACTGCACTGCACTGTTCAGTACTGACCTGCAGTGCTAGGACCTTGCGAGTGCTAGGTAAGCGTTCTACCACTCCTCCACCCCAGCCACTTCATTATCTTACTCTAAGAAATTTGGATCAGTAAGATGGCACACTGGGTAAAGTGCTTGCAACCTAGACTGATGACCTCAGTTCTATCCTAGGATACACACAGTGAAAGGTCAAGTCCCAAAACGTGTCCTCTGACCTTGTCAAGGGTACAGTTGCATGTAAACAAGCACGAGTCCGTGAATGTGCGTACACACACACACACACACACACACACACACACACACACACAGGCAGCCACAACCCCAGTCAATCAGAAGTTGTCCCCACCAAGGCAAGATCCATGCCCTTCTCTGTATAAAACAATATATTATGTTCCAATTTTTATTTCCCAGTAAGTGGTTTTACATATCTTTTATTTACCGTCTATACTCTTAGTGAAATATCTCTAAGTATCTTATATATTGTCTAATTGGATTATTTTTTAACAAATTAAGAACTCTTTTCATATTGTGGATGCAAGTCCTTTGTTGGTTATGTGCTTTTCCATTTTCATTGTTTTGTTTTGTTTTGTTTTTTGAGACGGTGTCTTTCTATAATATGGTCCTGGTTGTCTGGGAATTCACTATATAGACCAGGCTGGCCTTGAGCTTTGGGGTTCATATATACCCACCCACCTCTTCCTCCAGGTGATCAAAGGTGTGAGCCACACCTGGTCTGTTTTCTATTTTTAAATCTCACTTGGTGAGTTTTTCACCCTAGTAACAGAATTTGATAAAAAGTCTTCAATATTAGCTAGGTGTAATTTCTGGTCATACTGTTGATAAAACATTCCAAAATTCAACTTAACAATAGATCTCAAGGATTATATCTACTTTCTCTTTGAAAGTTTTCTTTTCAGAACACTTTTGTTTTGCACATAACAGCTTTATTGAGATGCAGTTCAGTTGCTGCCAACATTTAGATGTGGCTCGTCTCCCAAAGGCACCTGGGCTGGAAGACTGGCAACTGGGGGCAGCACTGAGCTGGCAGAAGCCTTAGGAGGTGGAGCTCCCAGGAGCTTTACCCTCCTGAGTGGATGCTCAGTCTCAGGGTGGATCAGATGTCACAGGAGTGGAAAAGGAGTACTGAGCAGTATGTGCTGTTAGCCACCAAGCCACCTCTCCAGCCTCAGATTTTCAAATAACTGGTTTTCCTCTTCTGTTAATATAGTTTCCAAAAATAAATAAATAAACATATTGTAGAAAAATATTTTTTATCCAAAAATTTTAATATTACATTTCTTGTTAATATAAATATATTATAGAAGCTATACAAATTTCCTTTTTTAAAAGATGCAAACGATTCTTTTATGTAGGTGGAGCAAAGAGAAAGGGAAGCACCACAAATAAAAGGTACTTGTTTTCTTTCAATTGTTAGAAGAGTTTATATAGCAAATATTTTTCCTAAGACTTAAAGAACAAAGAGACTATCCTAAATGCTATTCATTTTATATTCCATGAAAATTTAAAATAAATAGCAATTTACTAGTATGTGAATTGGCATATCTTTTTAAAGAAAAAGTAGTATCCTGTCTTAAAATGTGAAATTATTTTTTCTTATTTAAATTCAAAGACATCGTAATGGTGACCACAAAGTAATGCCGAGTCAGGGTATGGGACAAAGGCAAAAACCTTGAGTATTTTGTAGTCATTTAGATATTTATGCCACATCTTTATAACTCACAACTTGTCCTACATAATTCTAGAAATGGATATAAAATACAATATTTTAAACAATTTTGAATTTAATGTGTAAAATATAACAGCTAACATGTAAAGTAGTATAAAATGTATTGTACGAATTTTGTGATATTTTCTAAAACTTAACTTTGGGTTCTGGTGGGGTTTTTTTACGTTGTTTTTTATTTTGGAGTTTGTTTGTTTGTTTTGTTTTGGGACAGAATCTCACTGCTTAACCTGGAGTGATGGCCTCAAATGCTATTTTTCCTTGGCCTTCCAAGGGCAGGAATTGCAGCATGCACCAACACACCAGGCAGCAAACAACATTTTAAAGAATCCACTGCATAGTCTAAGTAATATGAAAAGCAAGAGACTTAATATCTAGGTTGAATCCACTGTGTGTCTAATTGATGGTGGGTGGTTTCTTTGTGCTACCATTTGCTTGTTTGTGAAGTGGCACCAACCATAATTACTCTGAAGAATTATTGAGACAGCAAATGAGATCTGGAAGCATGATCAAAAGCTTTGTAGACCATATAGCTCTATAGAAAAGCCTACTGGGGCTGGAGAGATGGCTCAAAGGTTAAGAGCTCCGGCTGCTCTTCCACAGGACCTGAGTTTGATTCCCAGCAACCATATGGCAGCTCACAACCTTCCGTAACTCCAGCCCCAGGAGATCCACTGCCCTCTTCTGACCTCCAAGGACACCAGGCACTTGCACACATAAAACAAAATAAATCCTTTTTTTTTTTTTAATTCTAAAGCTGGCTGTGGTAATATACTCCTTTTACCACAGGATTCAGGAGGCAGAGGCAGGAAGATCTCTATGAGTTCAAGGCCAGGCTGGTCTACATAGTGAGTTCCAGAGAGATTCTGTCTCAAAATAGATAATTAAAGAAATGAAGTTAAAAAAAGAAAAAAGAAAGAAATGCCTCCTACAATTATTGGCAGAAGACCACCCCATCATGAGCTCTTACCACTCACTGTTGGACCAAATGATTTTTTTATGATTCTGCTCATTGAATTTTTTAAAATAATGTAATATTCAACTACAAATCATTGAGAAACTTTTTTTAGCTTCAAAAAAATTTTTTGTTGGTGCTGCTGCCTGGAGCCATGGAGACATTCAGGCACTGGCTGCTGCCTAGGGCCATGTATGGGTCCGTGGTTTTGGTGTCCATGGCTCCAGTTGACACAGAAGCTTGGGGTTGGCCAACCACCTGGGTCCATGTTGATGCCTGGGGACCATACTGCTTTCTGGGGCAGTGCTGACACCAGGCGATGGTAGCATCTGGGCTCTAACTGCTGCCTGGGGCCATGTCTGGGTATATGGTCCTGCTGTAGCTGGGGTCTGTAGTGATGCTCATGACAGGTATTAGCATGAGGTCATTGGAACCATGCTGTGCTGAGCCTGTCCTGCCCTTCACTGGCCCTCAGATAGCTGGTCCTGCCCCTCCCATACATTGCAGCAGGGGAGAGCTCCTCCCAACCCTCACTATAGGTGTGCACCTCACCTGAGTAGCACACGAGAGCTAGGGGATGCAGGTGAGCCAGCCCTGAGAGTGTGAGAGCAACAGAGCTGACCCTGCTGTCGTCCTTCCTCTGCCCCTTCTTTCCTGTGGTGTAGCTTGAGTTTCTTTCCAGCCTGGTCCCTCAGCAGATAAGACCTAACTAAACACACAAAGACTTATATTAATTTATAAACTGTTGGCCCATGGCTAGGGCTTCTTATTGGCTAGCTCTGTCTTAATTATTAACCCATTTCTATTAATCTATGTATTGCCACAAAGCTGTGGCTTACCCATAATCCAGCATGTTACTCCATAGGCAGCATGGCATCTCTTCGGGGTCTCTCTTCCCTCTTCCCAGCCTTCTCCTGGTCTGGTAGCCCCACCTATCTTTCTGCCTGGCTATTGGCCAGTCAGCAATTTATTCATCAACCAATAAGAGAAACATATATACAGAAGGACATTCCCCTATCACTACGGCACTCACGAGAGAGCTGAAGCACACAGGACAGCAAGCAGCACACTAAAGCTGACCCTATTGTTGCAGGTGAGCCAACCCTGAGGGCATGATAGCAGAAGAGCTGACCCAAACCCCATTCCCCCTACAGCAGTCAGAAGAGAGGGCCCAGCTCTCCCTGGAGATAAAAGTGTGGGAAAACCTAGATCTGAAGGCTCAAGAGCAGAACTGGCCCTGCTCCTTACTGTAAGATGCATTGGGTGAGCTACCCAAGGCAGTGCTGGCGTAGTGATGAGGGAAAGCTATTGAGCTGACCAACCCAGCTAACACCCAGGCCCAGAACATCCACCAAATCTATGAACTGTTAGAGCATGTGAAGGGACAAACTTACAGATCCAAAACAGCAGGATCTCCATGACACAGGACAGCAACAAGATATCAAAGAGGAGTCCCAGTGAGAGCCCATTTAGGTGGTATAGCAGAAACCAGAGGCCTCAAGCCAGACCAACGATTCATTGGAGTGAATACTTACAAGTAAAGATGAATGGACCAAGGGTAAACTCACACTACAGCTTCCATGATTCATCTTCTTTCTTTGTTTTTATTTTTGTTTGGTTTCTTTGTTTTGTTTTGTTTAGGTTTTTCTTTTAAATTGCTTTTTTTTTTTTTTTTTTTTTTTTTTTTTTTTTTTTTTGGTTTTTCGAGACAGGGTTTCTCTGTGGCTTTGGAGGCTGTCCTGGAACTAGCTCTTGTAGACCAGGCTGGTCTCGAACTCACAGAGATCCGCCTGCCTCTGCCTCCTGAATGCTGGGATTAAAGGCGTGCGCCACCAACGCCCGCCTAAATTGCTTTTGTGTTAGGGGGAAGTTGCAAGGGCAAAGGGCAGGCGCAAGGACACAAGGAGATAAGTGGGATCGGAATGTATGATGTGAAATTCACAAGTACTGAATAAAAAAAATAAAAGCCAGGCATGGTGGTGCATGCCTTTAATCCTAACACCTTAGGAGGAAGAGACAAGATGATGTCTCTGAGTTAGAGGTCAGCATGGTCAACATAGTTAATGGCCCAAAACTATATATAGAGAGACCCTGTCTCAAAAAGTTTTAATAGGAAGGGTGGTGTGAGTTCAGTTGATCAAGAAGTCCAGATTCCCCTGGAGCTGGAGGGGAATGTAAGCCACATGAGTGCTGGAAAAAAAAAAAAAAAAAAAAAAAAAAACTTAGGTCCTCAACAAGAACAATGTGTGTGCTCTTAACCACTGAGCAATTTCTCCAGGCCCAAGACACCTTTTTAAAAATTAGTATAATTACATTTCTCCCTTCCCTTTCCTCTCTCCAATTTCCTTCAAATCCATGACCTCTTTTTCATTAATCATTATTATATGCATATACTTACATGTATATACATAATATATTTCTAAATACAACCTGTTCAGGCCCTATGACATTACTTGTATGTATGTTTCCAAGGCTGACCATCTGATAATGGACAACCAGTTGGTGGCTTTGAGAAGACCACGTCTACTGCTCCCAGCTTCCCTGGATTTCCTATAGTTCTTTGTGTAGGGTTGAGGCCTTGTGGGACTTTCCTCTGTCCACTTGGGCATGTCCAGTGATGTCATCCATGTTCAGCTCATGGCTGGGCAGTCATGTTGGTGAGGCTTTATGGATGTAACTTCAGACACAATCTCACAGCAAACTTCCTGATCCTCTGGTGTTTGAACTCTTTCCACTCCCTTCCCCACAGTGTTCCCTGAGCCTTAGGTCCTGGAGTGTTTTAGAGACATATCCATTGGGACTGTGCTCCGCAACTCCGAGTTTTGATTCGTTCGGGTTTTCTATAGTGGTACAAGAAACTCGTTTTTGGGGGGATTTTGTTTGTTTGTTTGTGGGTGGGTTTTTTTTGGCTTTTTATGACAGTGTTTCGCTATGTTACAGCTCTGGCTGTTCTGGAACTCACTCTGTAGACCAGGCTAGCCTCAGACTCAAAGATCCACCTGCCTCTGCCTCTCAAGTGCTGGGATTAAAATGTGTGCCACCACCTCCTGGCTACAAGAAACTTTTTAAAGGTACGTTGTAGAACTGAGGTTTCCAACCTAATTGGAATATTTTCCTGAATTAGAATATTTAAATGTCATATGCTAACTATTGTACACATGATATTAACTTGGTGTTTTCCCTTCTAGCATTATCTTACCCATGATAATCCTAAAAATACTCTTAAGACTTGATTTGTCTGTTGGGCATGCTGGCACATACCTATAACCCCAGCCCTCAGGGAAGTAGAGGCAGAGGCAGTCAGATCTCTGAGTTTGAGGCCAGCCTGTTCTACAGTGCTAGTTCCAGTATAGCCAGAGCTACACAGTGAAACCCTGTCTTGAAAAACCAAAACAAACAAGTAAGTAAATTATCTATTTACAGCGGGGCATTGGTGGTGCACACCTTTACTCCCAGCATTCGGGAGGCAGAGGCAGGCAGATCTCTGTGAGTTTGAGACCAGCCTGGTCTACAAAAGGTAGTTCCAAGACAGCCTCCAAAGCCACAGAGAAACCCTGTCTTGAAAAACCAAAAAAAAAAAAAAAGACTTGTCAATATGTATTATTCACTGTAGTTTTTTTTTTTTTTAACAGCAATCAACTCTAAAGGTGAATTCTGCCCTCTGGCTCCTGCTGTCCATGAGTCCCCTGAGATGATCTCAGTAGCAAATGCCAGCAGTGTGACACTGAGCTTGTCAACGTCGGTCTCTAGTTCTTATTGCAGCCAAAGCGTGGAAGCAGCTGATGACTGGTTTTCTGATGATTCTTTAGAAAACAAGAATGCCCCAGAGCCTTTACTTGGGGAATCTCTAGCAGAAAAGGTGTTTGCATACCTGTCAACCATTTCGTTAGAAGAATGGCCTGGAACCACAATGAATGTGACATTTTGTGGCGATCAAAATGATGATAGCATTAAGGAAAAGTTTTTACAAAGAAATGCAGAGGTTGGCACGCACAACCTTCAGGATGATATTGAATGACTATTTTCTTTTGAAACCTGTTGTATAGTGCAATCAGGTGACGTTAAAGCTGAATTATGAGCTCCCAAGTCTCCCATCATGTCCCTACTAATCTTGCTTTTCTTGTTCTTTATCATAAAGTGGTTCTAGTCCTTAATGGTATTTATTTTTAATTATTTATATTTTATATGCATTTGTGTTTACCTGCATGTATGTCTGTGTGAGGGTGCCAGATTCCCTAGAAATGGAGGTACAGACAGTTGTGAGCTGCCATGTGGGTGCTGGGAATCAAACTGGGTCCTCTGGAAGAACAACCAGTGCTCTTAACTGCTGAACCATCTCTCCCACCAATTTACATCTTTGTTAATGTTTTGACTTCAGAACTTAATGCATGACAGCACGCAATAGACATATACGTCCAGAGTTCACTTAAGGATTCAGAATTGGTATATATCTCCCTTCAGGTACACCGATTTATTCTTTTCTTTCTACATCTGTTGCTACCCTCATCTGTGTCATACACCCTGCCTAGATTACTACAGGCCTCATCACCATCTCTCTGCTGCTTCTTTAACAGTCCACTCTTCATGCAAGCCCAAAGTCATCTTTTGAGACAAAACAAAGTTACCACAGCCTCCTCTTAAAACTTTCCAGCATCTTCATAATTCACTAAAATTCTTCTAAGTGTCTTTGTTATGTCGTATGCAGTTTCATATACATCTCCTTCCTGATGGGTTGATGTCATTTCAAACCATTGTCTTTGGAAAGTCAGCAAAAGTCCAGACACGTTGGCTAGTCTGCCTCTCGAACACTGTTTATTTCTGCCCCAATCTTTGTGCTTGTACTTACTTCTGACTATAAACATCTGTTTCTAGATTTTTGCATAGCTGGCTCTTAAATATTATTTCAAGTTCATCTCAAGTATCGGTTTCAAAAAGAGACACACCTGAGCCACTAAGATTATTCTGCTCAAATTAGGGTATATATGAAATAAAAATTTTAAATGGTTATGTCTATTATGCACACTGCAGCAGTTTATAATATAATATATTGAATTGTAAAGAATCCATGAGGGGCTAGGAAAGGGGCCCAGCGGTTAACAATTCCTTCTGTTCCTGAAGAGGACCTAAGCTTGGTTCCCAGTACCTGTGGCTTACAGTGGTACATTTATTTTCTCTGATGTTTCTAAAGCTGTATATTCATACTCTGTTATATATAATTCATCCTCTATCTGCAGCTTCAGGAAATCCAGCATCATTATCTGGCCTCTGCAGGCACACATAGCCCTGCCCTTCTGCCATACCCACATATACACATAATTAAAAATATTAAAAAAGAAGAATACAAAGTGCAGGGCTATGGTGGCATACATCTTTAATCCCAGCATTTGGGGGGTAGAGGCAGAGACAGGCAGATCTTGAAGTTCAAGGCAAGCCTGATCTAGAGAGTGAGTTTTAGGACTACTGTCTTAGTTAGGATTTTTATAGCTGTGAAGAGACATCACAACCATAGCAACTTTTTTTTTCCAATTTTTTATTTAAATTAGAAACAAGATTGTTTTACATGTAAATCCCAGTTCCCTCTCCCTCCCTTCTTCCCCTGTCCCCCACTAACACCCCACCTATCCCATCCCCTTTCTGCTCCCTAGAGAGGGTGAGACCTTCCACGGGGGTCTTCAGAGTCTGTCATATCATTTGGGATAGGGCCTAGGCCCTCCCCCATGTGTCTAGGCTGAGGGAGTATCCCTCTATGTAAAATGGTCTCCCAAAGTACATTCCTATGCTAGGAATAAGCACTAATCTACTACAAGAGGCCCCATAGATTTCCAAGGCCTCCTCACTGACATCCACGTTCATGGGTTCTGGATCAGTCCCATGCTGGTTTCCCAGGGGACCATGAGCTCCCCCTTGTTCAGGTCAGCTGTTTCTGTGCGTTTCAGCAGCCTAGTCTCGACCCCTTTGCTCATCATTCCTCCCTCTCTGCAACTGGATTCCAGGAGTTCAGTTCAGTGTTTAGCTGTGGGTGTCTGCTTCTACTTCCATCAGCTGCTGGATGAAGGTTCTAGGATAGCATATCAAAGTTAGTCATCAATCTCATTATCAGGGGAGGGCATTTAAGGTAGCCTCTCCTCTGTTGCTTAGGTTGTTAGCTGGTGTCATTCTTGTAGATCTTCCTTGTAGAAATCCACCTGATTTCTCTTTAAACCTATAAAAGCTCTCTCTATTATGATATCTCTTATCTAGCTCTCCTCTATTCTTCCCCGACTCAAACTTCCTGCTCCCTCATGTCCTCCTCACCCCTCCTCTTCTCCCCTTCTCATTCTCCTAGCTCCCTCTCTCAGGTCCCTCTCCCCTCCCCCCATGCTCCCAATTTGCTCAGGAGATCTTGCCTCTTTCTCCTTCTCCAGGGGACCATGTATGTCTCTCTTAGAGTCCTCCTTGTTTCCTAGTTTCTCTGGTGGTGTGGATTGTAGGCTGGTAATCTTTGCTCTATGTCTAAAATCCATATATGAATAAGTACATACCATGTTTGTCTTTCTGTGACTGGGTTACCTCACTCAGAATGGTTTCTTCTAGTTCCATCCATTTGCCTGTGAATTTCAAGATTCCATTTTTTTTTCCACTGAGTAGTACTCCATTGTGTAAATGTACCACAGTTTCTCCATCAGTTCTTCAGTTGAGGGGCATCTAAGTTGCTTCCAGGTTCTGGCTATTACAAATAGTGCTGCTATGAACATAACTGAACAGATGTCCTTGTTGTATGAATGTGCTTCTTTTGGGTCTAAGAGTAGAATTGCTGGATCTTGTGGTAGACTCATTCCCATTTTCCT